TGCTTTACCTCTACTTTTTTTTTTTTTTTTGTATTTGATTTCAATCTGATATGTGATTCACCTGCTCTGGTCATGCTTTACCTCTACTTTTCCCCCACACCTGGTGTATGGGCTCAGACTGATTTTCAGGTATTGAGCAGCAACGGTTAACAGAGCTACAGTTTCTTGAAAAAGGTCTGAATGTTGCAGATAAAATGCAGTTAAATTAAGTAGCTACATAAGGAAAATGCCATTTTTTTACGGTGGGCAAACAGAATTAGCACTTGCTCGAAACAGAGACAGCAGCTTGAGAAGGAAATTTCGAGCAATAACTGTGGAAGCAATTCACATCCCGTGGAGAAGCCTGGCTAGCTGCTAAGCCTTCGGGCTAGGTAACACCCCCACCCACAGCTGCAGGAAATAAGGCTTGGAAATGGCTCCTCTGCCAGGTGCTCTGCAGGTACTGCTTCAGGCTTTTGGTTGCACCATTCCAACCGCTTTTTGGAGTGCTCTACTGAGGATAGTTGTGGGTTTGGATGGGTTTTTTTAATTTTTTTTTTTATTCTTTTCTCTGGTGGAAAAGCTTGAGTCTTCTTTACTTCAAGTGAGTAAAATAATCTCATATGGGACCTAGTGGTAAGGGATGTTTACACTGCTCAGTAGTGTATGTGAATGTTGTTTTCTAGGAATACACTAAACTGTGGTTTGAACAAGTAACAGCTTAATTTAGCTATTGGTTGTTTTAAAAAGTGTTGACTAGGAGTCTTTGGTACAGATTAAGTTTATGGGGGCTTTACATTTGCGTTGTTATGTTTCCTTAACAAGATAAAACAAGTGATTATTTTTATATGGGTTTGATGCTCTTTGCCTAGTTGCTATTTGCGTATCAGAGAGTGCTGGTCGTTTTTAATTCGATTAATTCTGATATAGCTTAAAATTAGAGTTTTAAAACTGTGTCAAAATCTGTAGTGTATCAGAGCTAGAATAATGCTTGTATCTGAGTTCTTTACATGAAGGAAGATGGGTGTTTAAGAGTGTCATGTTTTTATTATGAGACTTCCTTTGTTTGTTTTGCCTATGTTCCTGAAAGGCTTCTGATCCCTTCTACTTTCTTAACACTTTAATTTTAGAGAGAAATGATTATGAGAAAATATGTTTAGAGAAAGTTGGCTTTTATTGCATGAAAATAATTCGGGATCTTTAATGGCTCCAGTTGAAACAAATGACAAAAAGAGCCCAGTACTTGTTGTGCCTTACAAATCAAGGAATGTTAAGTTGTTCTTATCAGTGTTTCGATGTATGAGTTGTAATCTTGACTGTTGGGGTTGGCGATTTTGTGTTAGCCCACTGTAGTAGTTGCTTTCTGGAAATATACCTTAGTTTTCATAACATAGTCTGTAGTTTGGTAACAAATACGTGTGTCTGGCCTGAAAGTGAACGATTTTCTTCTTTTTCAAAGAATGAAAATAACTTGAGTATTTTCTGCCATGCTTTATCTTTCTTCTGGCTGTTCTTGGAAATCTGTTACAGATTTGGCTGTTTCTAGTTGTCTAATACAGATAGTGGATTAACTTTGAAGAGCACGGTGCATGTGATAAACTTGTTCTGCCATGGATAAGTAGTGCATGGGAAATAGAGAAGTGCTAGTACAGAACTCTCATTTGTCTGGTCCTCTTCCTCCTACCAGTTTTGGTTTTTTTTTTTTATGTTGGATATCTTGGAGCTTGAGGATTAAATCTTCAGTAAGGAATATCCTTTCCATACCTGGGGCCTTCTGTTCCACGGTTGGTTTGCCTTTGGCAAAGGCTGGTGATACGTTTGCAGTGGAGGGAGTGAAGGATTTATCGGGCAAAGTGTTATTGTATAGGCAAATACTACATGTGAAATGCTAAAAACGGTACTTAGTGTAGCTCCTAATGAGAAGGAAACAACACATGAGGGAAGTAAGAAAGCAGATGCTGCTGTTAATCCAAATGATTTTTCTATTGTTGAATTACTGGAAATGGTAGGAATAACAAACTGTGTGGGAGTATTGGAGAAGAGTGTGATAAAGGGAAAGAATAGAAATGATTTGTAGAAATACAGTACTTGTACACCTGCATTTTTCCCAAATAATGTCAGGTTCCCATCGCCAACTATGTAGTGATTCTCAGTGGCAATTTATGCTTGCTTTTAGGAGTGAAATGAATCCTAAGAGGCAGACGGAACAGGATGAGTTTTAGAGAAAGCTTTTGTGAAGGGGCATCACAAAGCAAAGCACAAAGGTTTTTTAGTGAGAAAGAGGTGGTAGAGGTTGATCTTACTGTGTGCTCTTTCCATTCGTATGGAGTTCCTTGTGAAGACACAAGTCTGTGTGGGGGAAGGGTGTTTCTGTGTATGATCTTAGAGATACGGACGAGGAACTAACACGTATCCTGTTTTGAGGAGGCAGTGGAGAGATGTAGGAGCAGGAGCGATGGACACCACACAGTAACCAACCAAAAGTTATAGCAAAGTCTACAGTAGTCCATGGTACCTAATATACAGGATTAAGTACAGACATAAGAGTGGAAAGATAATATTTTTAAAAAGAAGTGTATTGATTGAATGCCCTGAATGCATGAGACTTAAAACTGTGTACTTTGAATCAGTAGCACCTTGTCTTATTTCAGGTACCTGTTTACTATGTACACTTGTCAGCTGTGTTGTCTTTGCTGGGCTTGAAATTCTGAAATATAGTGCTTCAGCCTGAAAAATATGACAAAATAGCAGAGTTAGATTTGATCTGAGCAAGGTATTGGAATCGTGTAGTAAAAATGCATATTTCGGAACTGACAGGGGAGTACAAATGAAGTGCTGAGGTGTTACAATTTTCAAATAAATTGGAATGACTTTGAGAGAATTATGTCTGGTTTTATGAGACAACTTATGCTTCCTGTGCATGCTTTCATGGGGAGAAGCTATGAAAAAGCAAAGGGCTGAATTATAGCTGCGCTTAGATCTAAGAAAGACAAGAGAAGATATAATGTTAAAAAGCAGCAGTTTTGAGGGTCAGCTGGCGGGAAGGTGGTACGCCCTGTTGTGTGCTTTGTCTTTTGGTATAAACAGAAGCTGCTTGCTCCTGTGAGCAGAAGTGCCGAAGTAAAAGATCTGATTTTTGAAGTATTTCATTCATATCTAATAGTTGTTTTAATATATTTTTCATTGACATTAAGCAACGTGTATACTGCAGTACAAAAATACAAACCGGGATCCTGTAAGGCGTTATGCTTTTGAAGTAGGAAATCTCTCGTATCCCAGATAGAAGGAAAAATCTGTGGAACAGCGAATTGCCAGCCACGCAGACCGGTGGTCGATAGCAACATCCTCTCGAAGCGTTCGTTAGCTACAGCCTTCGCAGGAAAGCTCGGTGCTCAGGGTGGGATTGTCTGCAAATTCAACCCTGCTGCTTCCTCTGCTGCAAGGAGTCGCTAAGGGAAAGTATCACGCACTGAGAGATGATGCTGCCTCATGGGTGTGACTGTAAATATTTACCTTTGGAGTTTCAAATGCACCTTTCTAGGCACTTTTATAACAAAAAAAAGAAGTCAAAGCCTTTGGCGTGTTCGTTGTTGCCTTGTGAAGAGGGTGGCAGCCCACTGGTACAAATTTAGGCTACTTTGAAGAGAAGCCTCTTGGCCTCATGCAACCAAAAGATAACAGGACACGATGCTTGGTATTTTTTGATTAGAATCTATTTAGTTTGAAGGATGAAGAAAAATACATGTGCTCTGCAAGAGCATAGGAAGTACCGACCAGGCTGTGCCAAGCCGTTGAATGTGGAGAGAACAGTGTCTTCGTGCGAGTCATCCCAGTAGTGTCTTAAGGTTAACGAGCGGCGAAATTCCTGACCGAAGTGCCTTCCACAGGTTTTAAATACCAAATAACTCCCAATAAGTCCAAACTCTGGAGAGAAAATGAGCACAGAGCTTTTGTGCATCTTACAGGGCAGCAGTAAAATGCTGTGTTCATAAATAAGAAAGCTGTTGAAATATCCAGTGCTTGAAATACGCCGAATTACAGATGTTTGCTTCGGAGAAGTGAAATGAAGCCGAGCATTAACAAAATGGACCCTTGGCTGCCTTGGTTCTCCCCGTCGGACCCTTGTCACCCACCGCTAATGTCATTTCGGGCTCCGCGCCCTGTGAAAAGTGAATGCGCGTGCCTGGGCGCTTCGACGGTCGGGTGGCCCTGAACAGGAGCAGAACCGTGACCTGGGG